TATATATATATATATATATATATATATATATATATATAAATACAAGAATTGCTCGTTTAAAGGTATAGGATATTTTTTTATTCAATATAGATTACAAGCAATTCTCATTGAAAAATTTTTCTTTTTACCAGTGGACCTAAAAACCTCTGTCCTGAGAAAAACCTAGAAAGAGGGACTTCTTTTAAATTCAAACAAAATTAATAGAATAAGGGTGTCAAACGAGCACGCAGTCCACCTGATGGTAAGCGAATGCTGAGACTCATAGATCTATCCTCGATTAAGAATTAAAACGTAGATGCGTTGTCACCCCCCAGGACTAAAATTGTATGCCTAGTCTCCAGTAAAAAGGATCTCCGGTACTCTACACTGACCATACAAAACATTGCAGCATTAAGCTGCTATTTTAAACTGGTATTCTGTGAGAGCGTGTAACACCGGTAGAGCCGACCCATTTGTACTACAACCATAATATAACTGCAGAGTGGCTGTACCACGCATAAATAAATTCATTTATATTACAATACCCCTTTTTATACAGTTTTTGTTTATTAGGTATAAAAGCTTGGTAATAGAGAAATATTGTATATTATCTGGGACTTTGTTGTAGCACATATATTGCCCCGTAAATGAATTACTAGAAATTGGTATCACTAGCTTGATTTTGCTACACATTGGACCCCCGGTAGTCCGGCCCCTGTCTAATCCGGAACCCCCTGTAATCTGACATGGTCTATTATTTATTATTGAATATTTTTTTGACAATCTTCGCTAATGCATGATTGAACAAGTTATAACTTGTACGCACCACTACTATTGTGCTTGTCGCTAGGGTTGCCAGGTTTTAAAACCAAAAAGCCGGGCAGACCATCTAGTTTTGCCGGACATTTTGATAAAAAGTTTTAGTCTTGGTATAATACATTTTTTTTAAAGTAGGATAAGTAATGCTTTTAATCATTTACCATAAAAATCTTAAATTCTAATGAAATAACAATAAAATTGAATGAAACAGTCTTCTTTATTCTGAATCATTTAATATTCATTACAATATTAATTTCAATAATATGTATATAAGTAGTTACATGAAAAATGTAAAAAAAGCTCTTTAAAAAGTCTAACAAAAGCCACCGTATAATTTGGCCGTACAGGCAATCAAAAAGCCTGACCTGTGTCCGGCTTTATCCGGACGCCTGGCAACGCTACTAGTCGCTAAAGTATTGTTTTGATTCTGATTGCATAGTTTGAATTTGACATAATGAAGTATGATTTGTACTTCAGAGTACATAATATATGTAACATATAGAATCTTATCATTGGATCTGTAATTTATTGGATTACAAGGTCCTCTTTTGTAAAAAATTCCAGACTATACCAGTCTTTTTTATAGGAGAGGGGGCAAACGAGCATACGGCTCACCTGGTGGTACCGGTAAGTGATTACCGCCGCCCATGAACAACTGCAACACCAGGGGGGATTGCAGATGCGCTGGCGGCCTTTTTTTTATAAGACCGCCAACACAGGAGTAGGCTCTTTTCTTGAAGATCCCAAAGTCGTATCGGTCCGGAAAAATCTCTGGTGGTAGTCGATTCCAAAAGGAAGTTGTGCGAGGAAGAAAACGTCTTTTAAATCGCACGGTGGCGGACCGCCAGTCATCCCGATGGTGTGGACGGTATCGCAACTTTTATCGCGATGTGCAATGGTGAAATTGTGCGGCTGGAATTAGTCCGAACAGTTTCTCAGAGCAGTCCCCGTGGTAGATGCGATAAAATACACAAAGAGATGCAACATCTCTTTGCTGTGCCAGTGAGTCAAGCCGATCGAAAAGAGCTCGCTCGCCGACGATTCAAACTGCTCTGCGCTGGATGCGATTAAATGAAAGGAGCTGGCACTAGCAACCCCCGCCCAGAGATGAGAACAGTATTCCATGTGCGGCCGAACCTGCGTCTTGTAAAGTTGCAAGCACTGAGCCAGCATGAAATACTGTTCCGCTCTGCTGAGCACGCCAAGCTTTTTAGAGTCTTGAGAATTTGGCCTTCTTTTCCAAGTGACCACGAAACTGCACGTACTCAGCGACGTTTTCCAGAAAAATATTGGCACGGCCAAGGGAAATATGTGCTGTTGTCTGCATAGCAATGAATATTACCGGTTTGCAACATGATATGCAGAAGAAACAGCGTTGGTGATATCACGCAGCCTTGTGGAACACCAGCGTCAATGGGCTTGTAATCGGAGCATGCACCGTCTACTACGACGTTGAAGCTCCGATCTGCAAGAAAACTGGTGATCCAATATATGTCTTAGGCAGTACTCTGTAATCCGACAAATTCGATAGTTCGACACTGCCCTGCAAAATGTTTGTCGGATTACCGGGGGTCCACTGTAGTTGCAAAACTTGGCAAACTGGTTGTTACCCGCAGTTTTTTGGTTTTTGAGATGTTATCGGGAAAATACTGTTGCCAGCTTCAGTTTCCCTCTGCCGCCTCTTACGACACCCATAGGACGTTACGGGGTAGTGGATATTCTTACACCGCACCGCCACGACACGGTTACATTTTATCGTCATCATTACAGTTCTTCACAAGTCCACTGCTGAATATAGGCCTCCCCCAAGTAATGCCACAAATCACGGTCCTGAGCCACCTGCATCCATCGACTTCCTGTATGTCTTACCAGATCGTCACTCTATCTAGTGGGGGGTCGCCCTACACTACGCCTACCGGTACGAGGCTGCGGCTCGAGAACTTTTCTTCCCCATCGGTCATCGGTTCTTCGAGCTATATGGCCGGCCCATTGCCACTTCAGCTTACTAATCCGTTGGGCTATGTCGGTCACTCTGGTTCTACTACGGATATGCTTATTTCTGAGTTTATCACGCAGAGAAACTCCGAGCATAGCCCTCTCCATAGCTCGCTGAGCGACCTTGAGAGCCCTCATACGGCCAGCAGTGAAGGACTACGTCTCAGATCCGTAAGTCATCACTAGCAACACGCACTGTTTCTACAATTTAGTTTTCACAGTTTTAGGTATACCGGACGAGAAGATATGTTGTAATTTCCCGAACGCTGCCCAGCCGAGTTGAATCCATCGATTGACCTCTCGGTCGAAGTTGGACTTACCTAGTCGGACTATTTGCTCCAGGTAAACGTACTCGTCAACAACTTCGAGCATAGTGCTCCCAACAATTACTGGCATAGGTGTGACATGGACATTAAACATGATCTTTCTTTTGTCCATGTTCATCTTAAGACCCATCCGTTGAGAGACACCATTGAGGTCATTGAGCATAGTGCTTAGGTCCTCCAGCTATTCAGCCATAAGGACTATATCGTCGGCAAATCGAAGGTGAGTGATGTACTAGCCATTGATGTTAATTCCATATCCTTTCCAGTCCAGTAGCTTGAAAACGTCTTCCAATGCAGCGGTGAAGCGGTTTCATTTAGTGTGGTTCAATCATTTTTATATGCGTGTAATGAATGAGGGTACCTAAACTACTTTAGCTTAAACCGTTTATAAATACACATTGCACAAATATTACATAACGATATGTATAATGTTATAAATGGCTAAATTTTGAAATAAATAAACTAATTATACATACATATATAATTAGAAATATAAACCTCCTCAGGTTTAGGTCAGGTGACTATGTCCTATTTATGTATTTCTTATGTGTAGGTAACTACTTTTGTCAATAAATAAACCGTAAATAAAACTGTAGGAAAGGACATCCAAGGGTCATTCTAAAAGTTAAAGTTACAGCCTATATACGTCCCACTGCTGGGTACAGATTCTCCTCTCATTTTCTGAGAGACTTAGGGCAAGAAAATGTCAGCCGCGCTGTCCTAATGGTGTGTTGGGAAACTTTACATGTATGCAAAATATTTTTTCTGAGAAATACAGTATTCTTTCACCACCGAGCACGTGGTAAATCAGCACTTAAAATTTCAAGTAACAATTCCATTCTATTAGGGCTGTTTTATTAGAATAGGAGTGTCAAGCGAGCACACAGTCCATCTGATGATAAGTGAGTGCTGAGACCCAAGATATCTACATCTATCCTCGATTAAGAATCAAAATGCAGATGCGTTGTCACCCGTGAGGACTAAGATGGAATGCCTCGTTTCCAGTAAAAAGGGTCTCCGGTTCTCTACACTCACCATACAAAACACAGCAGCATTAAGCTGCTATTTGACGCTGGTATTCTGTGAGAGCGTGGTCCTTTCCCGGTCGAGCAGACCCATTCGTGCTACAACGATGTAGTGGAAGCATGGCTCTACCATATAGAAAAACTCTTTATTTTTGCAATAAATTAAAATCTAAGTCATTTATGAAACAAAATTCTGAAATAATTGAAAATAAAAATGATTCGTACAGTACATTTCATATAACTTTATTTAATGAACTGCGGTCAAAATTTACGTCAAATTAATTTACATAACGCAAAAAAGGACGTTGATTACTCGGTGTCAAGTTTAATAATAGAAAAGAAATTTACAAAAATAAAAAGAACGTTATTCACATGACTTAAGGTAAAAAAACGTTTCTTGATGAATCCAACAATATAGTCATTTTTACTCGATGACTAATTTGTAATAGAAATTAAAAATGTTATAAGTGTAAGTATGCATATATTCGCTTAATTAAGTACTTAATGTTTGTGAGTCGTACATTTGCAAAAAATATCAGAAAATCTTTGTCGGAATAATATCGACCTAAGAAGTATGTACTGTTAAGGAGATGTTATACAATGCACATAATGTTACTGTGTAAAATTAAATATTTAGATAATGAAATTAATATAAATGCGTTTACCTGTTAGAAATTCTTTATGCTCTTGTTGAATCATTTTATTGAATGAATTCTAATTCTCTGTTATAAAAAAATACAACAGGACAAATTAAATATAAAAAAGTTTACAGGTAATTAGGTCGAATTAAGATAGGTAGTAATGATAAGTCGATGTGCTCAAAAATATATTAATTCCTAATACAGCTTTTACAAAATTAATCAAAGTCTTCGTCGGAATCTGTTTTGAGTACGCTGTCTGAACCAGATCCCGGTTCACTGTCCACCGCTTTCACTCTGTAAAAGAAAACTTCCAATATAATCACGATTCTATTATAAAAAAAATTCTAGGATTTATCTTCTGGCTAGGAGTACGTCTAGGTATAGGCCGCCCTTTTGCCTAAGTCTGGCGTCAAGCAGCTTGCACTGCTGTGTTCTGGTCTGGAAAGGTATAGAGAGTCTTACCTCTCATCATCATACTTACAGGCTGTGAGGCATCCCATATTAGTCCTCAAAAGTGACAACGCATTCTGTCCATGAGCTGCAGGCCACATCCCATTAGGTGGACTAGTTTGTCGCTTCAGTTTCATAATTTAAATATAATATTTATAATAAAATTATTGTCAATCAAGAAAGCACAAATGAAGGCATCACTTTCGGAATATTATAATTAAATTAAAATAAAACATAATTGTCAATCAACAAAAAACAAAAGAAGTCATTTCTTTTGGGATACCATGGTTTTGTTGTACTATTTCGGTTACAATTATAGATTTTTGTTTATAGCTCCTAGAACCGACCGATGACGTAGGAAGGTTTTCGAGAGGAAGTCCTGCATCTGTTAGTAAGTAAGGTGTGAAGCATCTTCTTCTTGACGGATGACGATGTTTAACTGTAAAGATGGAGGTCTGTCCCATAAGTTGTCCAATATTTATCAATAGGGAAAGTTAGTATTTTAGGCAGTAATAACGTTGAGGAATAATGATGGTAAGGATTAATATACTACCTTTATAATAGCATATAAGTAATAATCAAAAAATTAACTAGGGTAGCTCAGATGGTTAGCGCTCGCTCTAAATTTCACAGTACGCGAGCAAGCGAGAAAAAATAATATATTTCGAAAACGTGAATTTCCGGCCGCGCGGCGAATCTCCTTGCCCTAAAACCCTCTCAGAAATGATAGAAGGCCTGTGCCCAGCAGTGGGAGCGTGTATATAGACTGTAACTAACTTTATATAAAAAAAAATTAAAAATCGTTTTGGTGTTAAACAATAGTTTTTGTATGTTTGTTTGCGTAATACAAATAGTAAAAAAACTTCAATGCAAATATGGAATTTTCGAGTCAATATTACAATGGTATGATGAACGGGTTTTTTCTGAACAATCAAATGATTTTGTGAATAATATTTCTCTTATTATGGCTATATACTCGTAGTAACAATAAGTGACATGGGAATATAGTAAAAATTGTAATTTTCATAACAACTAAAAACGACTCAAACGACTAAATTACTTAGTAAGCCAACCAAAAAAAGAGAGCCAAAACTTTATTGTAATAGTATTAAACTAAATTCTTCCAAAAGAAAATTCATAAAGATCTGTAAAAAAGAAAACGATAAATATTAGAACTGGTCTCATCAAAATATCTTAATAGCCCACGCAATAGTCGGTGCCTAGTAGCCGGTTCAAATAAGCATTTTCATGACACTGAGCTGCAGCTCAATTGGTAATTTAGCAGCTCACGGCTAACAAATCCGAACATCGGTTGACATGCCATAGAATAAATGGGTAGATCAGAGAATATGACTGTGAAAACCACATTCTTTGAGTCATTTTTTGTTTATGGTTGTCAACTATAGAGTTCTCGAATTTACTTGAACAAGTACATAAGCAACCAAAACATCTCCACTATTAAAATTTCTTTAATTAAAATTTTTATGGGCTTGATTTTATGCCACATTGATGGCCTCATATTTGGCATCATTGATTTAAGTAACTCAATGTTTGGCATAGTTTCCACGATCTACCACGCACGCTTTACCCGATTACGGAACCGAAGAAGCGGGTTATATATTATAATATACAGCCAATATAATATGGTCCACGGCTGAGTTACCATTCATATTACGTGTCATGTTATATACTCAATATCTCATACTTCTTGGAGTAATAAAGTGCATTTTATTAATTTATGTTTTATTTGCTTAGTTAATAGGTACTTAAAATTAGACAAAATTTTTATTTTATATCAGAAGTTTTTTTTATTTCGTTTGCAAATAGCATTTATAAAATTTAATTTATATTGGACATGGTTAAAACTTAGAACATTGGGTTGGATTGTCTAAGGGTTAACGAACAGAATAAAATTTAATTAAAGCAGTTAGTTTTGCCATTTACCGACAGATGTCACTGTTCTCTGTGTATCTACTATAATATACTCTTTATATTCTGAGTCATATATACTAAACTACACTGAGTGACTACTCAAACCGCTAGAAGTAGAAATCTAAAACTTGGACTGTAGGTAGCTACCTTTTATGACGTAGAAATCAGCTATGAAATCATTTTGGAAAATTCGATCCCTGGGAGGTTGAAATAAGGGTACTTACGTAGGTACTTTAGGTAGGCGTTGGATTGTAGTTTTCATTTCAATGTTTTTATTCTAATAATAAGTGTTATTATAATAATAAGTGATGGTGCTTGCTTATTTAGGGCAATATTTTATTTGTTGTATGGAAACCAAGTATTGGCTGGAGAAATTCGGGAGCAAATTAGTGATCACGTTATTGAGGTCATTTTATTGCTTATTTACAAAATAAAATAAAACACAAGAGTACAGTTTGCCCTATTTCTTTCTTGGTTAGTTTGTGGTCCGTTTATTTGTTAGTCTGATTGACCGACTAACTGAATGTTTTTATTCAGATTAGTGTCTTTCTAATCTGAGTAAAAACATTTAACATCTAGTTCTTCGCGACAGTTTTATTTACAAATAAATCATCATCACATAGAATAGCAAAAGTACTGATTCCACGCGAACGAAGTCGCGGTCACAGCTAGTAAAATATAAATTAGCAAGATGTTTTATCTACAAAATATTTTTTCCGAACAGTGGTTTTTTTCCAAAGAAATTAAAGTTATTTCTACTACTAAATGTAACAATGAAGTAAAACAACTAAAAAACTAATAAAAGTTGATTAAAAGTAATAAACTACTTTTATTCAATACTATCTGAGGGTACTAGCACGAGGTCAAATCCCCACGCGAGTACACAAGCAAAAACTTCAGGGAAAATCACAAGATTTTTTAAATTAGTTTTTCCAAATACTTTGATATGATGGTTAACACAAATATAATATATTCTATCTAATTCTCTCGCAGGCTTAATCCTATAGATGTATATTGTAACCACAATGATTCTAGAGAAGTTTTCACTTCAAATAACAACAAAACAACACACACTCCAAGGCGACACCGCGGAAAAATACACCTCCTTTCATCGAATAGTACAGGACTATGACACCACTAACGAAAGTGGAATTTTGATATAGGTAAATTCATGCCTTTATATTGAATTTGATTGTTCAAAAACACGATTGTATAATTTTAACTCGATCATAATTATTTGCGAAAACACCTCTAAAAGCCCTATAGTTGAAATTACAACGAAATTACTTAATCTATATGCTTGGGAATTAAATTACAAAACATTACGGATTTATCTATTATAAATAATACCATTTCCAGCACCCTAGGCACTAAAAGTAGTTTTAATCAATGCTTGGGAGTTACTCAAATATATTCATAACATCAATATTTATAATTTACTTGCTCATTTTGATTACTTAAATCAATAATTTTTAAATAATATTACCTAATTAATTTAGATTCTGTCAATTTCTAAGCGGTTTCGTCTCGTCGTCGTCGTCGTTTCGGCTACGCAATTTTATACCTTATGACAGCGTTATTCAAGTATTAAATCATGAAATCACTCGCATTAGTACGGCGATAGCCTGGAGCCACTTTTTCGATGTGTCGTAGTGAAAGATAACGGAAAAAAATCTCCGAACCGTACGAACTACGTACTGACCAGCATAGAGTAGAGTAATATAGAATATACTGACTCGTTATAATAACATAACGTAAGGCGATGCTTGCGTTGTACCAAAGACATTTAAGTAGTTAAATCTGTGTTGTACGGTGTGCGTTTAATTAGGCTGATCTGTTAGCTGATTTGGATACGATACGATAATAGCAGCGGTTTGGATACTTATACTCCGTTGAAAACTGTAAAAGGCATATTACACCACACTGAATTTAGGAACCTTTTATTAGGATTCAGGAAAGGAAAAGGAACCGCGTACATAACGCGTAATAAGAGTCGCAGAAATTAATTTTAAAACTAATAAATAATAAATAAATTATAACAGAACAAATAATAAAAAAATAATATTATATATTTTTTAAATACTTATATTTTCAAAAAGAGGCGTTGTAGCTCAAGGCCTAAGTGTTAGATGATGTAAGTATTCCAACTTTTCCCCACTAGCACGAATGAAATTGTTAAATGAAATTTTGTGTTCAGATTTATCACATACTCAGCGGTGAACTAAAATATCGTGTGAAATCTTGCACGTCTGAGGAATGAAATATTTCGAGGACATGTGAATTCCGCTAACACTCCTGCAACTGCTCCATAACCCTCTCAGAAAGAGATGGCCTGTGCCTGTGACTGTGAGAAGCTTTGTAGAGCGACTTGTTCTTGTCCTCGAGCCTTAGGTTGTAGGTACCAGTGAGTGCAAATTATTTGTCCCGTGAATTTAATTATCTAATACATCATCATCATCATTACAGCCCTTCACGACTCTACTGCTGAACGTAGGCCTCCCCCAAAGAATGCATTAAAGCACGATCCTGAGCCACCGGAATCCTTCGACTTCCTGCATGTCTTACCAGGTCGTCACTCCATCTAGTAGGGGGTCGCCCTACACTACGCCTACCGGTACGAGGCAGCCACTCGAGAACCTTTCTTCCCCATCGGTCATCGGTTCTTCGAGCTATATGGCCGGCCCATTGCCACTTCAGCTTACTAATACCGTTGGGCTTTGTCGGTCACTCTGGTTCTACTGCGGATATGCTCATTTCTGAGTTTATCACGCAGAGAAACTCCGAGCATAGCCCTCTCCATAGCTTGCTGAGCGACCTTGAGCGTCCTCATACTCATTATTTACATCAGTAAGCGAAATTTAACTATCTAAGACATCGGTGAGGATGTAAGTCTATTCGCTCAACAGTATAAGGTTTTTCATGTTGACTTCATTAATCTATTTTTATATCCAACTGGACATACGAACTACGTACATACCATACGATTTATTAATAGAACTCTACAGAGAAACCAGCACCGTCACATCTAGTGACGTTATTTCCCTGCATAATTGCCTCCACAGATTCATCTTAGGAATGAGCGCTGTGCTTAATATTAAAATAGCATGGCCGGACCAATAAATTATAGACGCTGTATTGATTTAGCGTCTCCTGTATTGAAGACGTAATCGTAGTTGATGCTTGTAGGTCCTGTGAGGGGTAATGAATCGAAAGGGGCGATTAAGTTTCTTTTTATATCGCCGGGATGTAGTCACAATGCGTTTACTACGCATTGTGACTATTTATTGCCGCGTTTATAACGTCGCAAAAAGACATTTGACCGTAAAGGACTAAGGAACGTTACAGATAAATAATACAAGGGAATGTAATCTCGTTTGATGGACGTAATCTATGGTATTAAAAAGATAATAATAAAAAAACTATGAGGATTTGTTTTTTATTAATATATACAGCTTGCGATTCGAATTCATAAAGGAATAAGAAAGCTAGGGGAACATGTTTCATTTAAAGCATTTGTTTTACCTTCAGTGAAATATTGATTTATATGCAATACCTACATGTAAGCTTAATTTCTTACATTTTTTTAATAATAGTTTTATTTTCTTCAAATAAAACCCTTATATACACGTGTTGCACTCTGCTGATTGAGACACGAACAACTGATGGTGGAAAACCATCCAAAACGCTGAACTGAAATTTTACAGACTAGTGATCGGGCTTTACCGATGCGATGGCTGCGCCTCAACTCGTTGGTCCACTTGCCCAGCAATCAATCAGCAAATCTTCCCAGAAATATATGCCAGTAGACGTATTCTTGGAAAGACATGGTCCACTTGCCCAGCACTGTGCAACATCAGCAAATCTTCCCAGAAATATATGCCAGTAGACGTATTCTTGGAAAGACATGGTCCACTTGCCCAGCACTGTGCAACATCAGCAAATCTTCCCAGAAATATATGCCAGTAGACGTATTCTTGGAAAGACTTGGTCCACTTGCCCAGCACTGTGAAAGATCAGCGAATCTTCGCAGAAATATTTGGGAGTAGACGTATTCTTGGAAAGACTTGGTCCACTTGTCCAGCACTGTGCAACATCAGCAAATCTTCCCAGAAATATATGCCAGTAGACGTATTCTTGGAAAGACGGATATGCATCAGAGGACAAAAAGTTCGTGAGGGTGATAATGATTATACAGGGTTATTTTTCAAGGAATAGCCAAATTTTAAAATTAAGTTCAAATATATGAATAATGATATACCATTATTGCAGGTTTTGAAAATACGAGTAAATAAGGCTTTTTCTTTGAAATTATCTCAAGTTGAATGTGATTTATGGGTAACAAAGTTTTTGCCTACCTATCGATCCCTACAAAAATTTTAAAATCAGTTAAAATAATGCATCACCACGCATTTTGAACTTAAAAGATAAAATGAATGAAAATAAAAGAATGTTTGAGATTTGTTTCAATTAATATTTCTTCAACATTCGCCTGTATTACTAACTCTGAACCTTCTCTGCAAATTTGGCCGGTTATTGCAAAATAACCCTGTATAAATTCAAGGTTAGGTACATTAAATTAGTTTTTAAGCACTAGTTTAGTTCTTATATACATGTGAAAATTCGTTGTGTTAGATAATTTTACCACAAAGTTAACCACCAACAAAGTCTTCACTTTAATGTGCGATAGTTCGCAGTTACAAGCAAAGCTGTTTAAATAGTAATGCGTTTGCTGTTACGGCACTGTTATGCCGACTTCTTTTGTTAATTTAATGTTAAAGCATTAATGTTATTTAACACAATCAGTTATGTTGCCTAATTTTCGATAGTTTATTTAAAAAATCAAGTCCTGTTTTTACCTTAAAATAAATATGAATAGAAGGTTAAAAAGCTCTTGAACAATTGACTGTGGTAAAACTTATTTAGGCGCGACTTCTGGGTAACTCAGATCATTTTTTAATATACAATTAACTTTAATTATAGTCTATGGTCCATGAGTGGAGTTTCCGGATTTATAAGTCAGAGATTGATTATTATAGTATTTAGTGATTCTATGTGTTATATGCACATATAAAGATGTGAAATTTTTGTCTATGATTGAATACTTATATTAAATTATTATTTTATTGACAAATATTTTTTTTATTTATCTAAAATTATACTAAATAATAACAATACAAATGTAAATAACCGCAATAAATATTAATATTAATTGAGAAGTTTTACTTCAACCTCTTGTAAAGGTTATGTAGGCAAATACACTCATTATGATTATTTTTTGTTAAAGTTAAAAAAGAAACAATCAAATATTTTACACTTTTGAGCACTTCCCTTATACCCAGTAGGTATTATTCCAATTTACTTTAATCATATTTCTGTGAATAAAAATAAACATGAAATATTTCGTAATTAACAACATATTCTATAGCATCAGTTTATAATGCAACTTTTATTTTTCTTTAAAAAAATCTATCTGGGACTTGTGAGTTGATTTATGGGCCATTTAATATTTCATACAATGTTATAATGGCTATAACCAGATCGTACAAAGAAGACCGAGGTAGAAAACAATTTTACGATCATTAAGGATTTTTACTTATTTGCGAAAGACCGTAAGTAATATATATATAAGTAATATTTTTGTACATTAAAAAAACGGAATTATAGTTGTTACTTTCCGAAAGTATTGACAAAGAAAACCAAGTTATATTCTTAAAAGAATTGTTGTTATTTCTGCTGATAGAAGGTTATTTGGAGAGGTGTTTTTTACCCAATTTTCTATTAATGTTACTGATTGGCTGTCACTTTTTATTATTAAATGGGCTATAGTGATAACGGTTGTATCCAAGGGGTAGTAATCGCTTTTGTAGTAGCATATAAAATTCTGATAACAACTCAAAAAATAAAAAACTGCGGTTGTCAACCCGCTTGTCAATCGTGGCTATTATTAAAAACTTTTAAATAAATCACATTTCATAAACGAACAAGAATATTTGTTATGTTTGCAAATCGTAGGTAAATTGATATAAATTACACCATGTGCGTGACATTTTAGTGCTTAGTTCGAGTAGCATCAAATTCTTTTTCTTTTGATTGTTTTTCTTTGTCTTGTCAGCCTATACATGTACTTTACATGTACTTTTCAATATATAATAATCAAATTATTTTCAACTTCCTTACCTTTGTAATATAAAACTAAACACTCTTACATATAACTATAGAATACTATAATACACAATAGAATGGCTGGCGGCGTCGCCGGGAACACACATACAAGCAATTACGTCGTATTATCAGTTAATCACTACTACAAACCCGATTCGCTGTGTTGACAGAAGGATTTTAATACTTATTTATTTGTAGATAGTGTGCATTTTGGCATTTTCTAAATAATTTGCATGCGAAATTTGGAAACGATTGTAACGTCAAAACACATCTCGTGTTGACATTTATACGTGTGAATTGACGTCTTGTGGTATTTTAGTGGCTACACGGGCTCACCCACACCCCCGTTCTATTATGTATGTATTATAGTATTCTATGCTTATAACACCACCTGTGGGGGTGGCATATGTACATCAGTGAACTTAGATGGGCTGCAATTAATGATAATGATGAAAATATGTAATCTGAGCTCGATCCCGTATGCTTGAACCATTTTCAGAAATTTACCACGAGTTCCGAGGAACTCAAAATCTATTGATAAAATACATAGAATATTTTTGAAGAAAAAAAATTGGAAATTAAGTCTTAGAAGTTATTCACAAGAGTTTTTTGAGTATTTGTTAACTTGGCAAATAATCATAAAGATGTTTATGCATACTTATTTGTTTTGGGATTATATTTTTAACGAAGATCGTAAAGTGTAGTGCGTAGCTAAACAAACGCCTCTTTCTAAAACTACGTGAGACAGAACGCATTATCACATTGTATTGCTAATATTGTTTGGATTTCCGTTATGTCTGACATAGGAAAATATTGTTTTCAGTAAAATGCTTATCATTAAATTGTAATAATAGTTACATCGTGGTAAAATATTAATAGATTGTGGGATATGCGGTGAAATTAGAAGTCGTCTTTGCTACTTACAGTAAGACCAAATTTTCCGTAACTAAGGAATAAGCAATGACAGTTATCCAAAATAGTACCAGGACAGTGGGAAAAAGAAATTCCCAACAGCCTTTGATAAAGTGCAATATATCATTTAACTCTACTCCTTGAACCATCTCGTTATCGTTAACTTGACATTGTAGAGTTTGAGTTAAAACTCGAGATTGTATCTAAATATCGAACTCAGAATCACGAGGGAAGCGGCGCTTAAGATACGAAACATCTGGTAGAGATCTTCTAATTTTAAATTGCACGCGCCTACTTTGTAGGTATATTTAGGAATTATAGTAAAAATGCTAAAATCTAATGTGACAAAATCTACCAAAATATAAGGGAGCCGTGTGCAGTTTTGTAAATTATACGATCTCATTCCAATTAGATAGTCATTCTACTTAAGTGCGGCGATTATGATAAATCTTTCCCACGATTGGAGTGGATCATATTCAGCAGCGGATTGTTGTAGGCTGAGAGAAAAGAATATTTGTGTTTGCCGTTTATTTTTCATATGTAGCTAGCTATCGTAAATCTTTTGATTCACATCTCATGTCACGTAAAAGATGGACTTACCCATTGAGATCTTTAGTCAGTTGTATGTCGACGGTGGCGCCATCGCTCAGACCTCCGAGTGCCTCGCACAGATCACCGCCCACGTTCTGTAGGTGTTGTGTGTTCAGATGGTAGCCCTGTCGTAATATATCATCATTGTTAAAATTTGTTTTTTAAGTTTAACTATTTTAATGTACGAGTGATTTTATTCAAACTCACACGATACTCATGATAACATGACGTTAATTTTCTAGTTGTTTTCAACGATTGCAAAATATTCTATTTTTAATTTTGTTATTCGATTGTAGTAATTAAGTAATTGTAGTCTGGACGGGAGGACGTCGTCGCTCACCGACAAAGGCCTTTATAGTAATAAATTAAAAAATTAAAATCTTTTGCAATAATTAGAATCAGTATAGATAGGTACTATGGTGTCGAACAGAGGGTTAGAACGTATGGTCAGTGTAGAGTACCGGACACCCTTTTTACAGGAAACGATGCATTGCAGCTTAGTCCTCACGAGTGACAACGCATTCTGCATTTTGATTCTTAATCGAGGACAAATGTAGATGTCTATGGGCCACAGAATCAACTTACCACTAGATAGACTGTATACTCGTCGTATCTTGTATGTATGATAAATAAGAGGAGCAAGATATATTCTGTACCGAGGAGAGGCCGCCGTGTAGTGGCGGTGTTAGAATATCCACTACCCCATATTATCCTGTGGGTGTCGTAAGAGGCGACAGAGTAAAAAAAATCAGGATATGGGCAGCAGCGTGTTCCAAACTACAAAACTGCGGTTGTAAACGCGCTTGCCAAGCGTGGTAATTATGGCAAAATCCCCGCATGAGGCTATTTATAACCACCTCAACCTATGTATGGAAAAGAATATTTTTGTGACGAACACCTTTTTTCGTCATAAAAAGATTCACAAGTACAAGTACAGTTGGGAAAGAGGTGTTGATAGAAGCATGATAGATTTCATAATTGTGGATGAAAGATTGAGGAGTGCAGTGGTAGATACAAGAGTTTACCGGGGGTCCAAGGTAGGGACGGATCATTATTTGGTTTTATGCCGAATTAATGGTCTATTCAGACGTTGGTGGCATTGGACATCTGTGTCCACTACTGCGTTACAGCGAATTTGAACAGAGAGGTTATAAGATGAAGGTGAGAAAAACAAGTACAAATGTGGTCTCAAAGAAAATATAAGTGGTTTGGTTGAACTGTGCATGAATGAGTTAAGCTTGGAGAATGTATGGCAAAATGTTAAGAAAGGTTTAGTGGCTGCAGCTACCGAAGTATGTGGTGTTAGTAAGAGAACGAGTGAAAGGAAAAATAATACGTTATGGTGGGATGATGAGGTAAAGTTGAAGCAAAGAAGAGAGCAAGGCTAGATTTAGTAGCAAAAAAGGCTGGCAAATCTGGCGGTACGAATGATGATATTGAAAAACAAAGGCAGTCTTTAGAGAGATCTAAATAAGAGAGTAAAATCTAAATCTAAATAAGTTGAAAGGAAAATGCAAAAAAGAAGGGATAAGAATGATAAAAGAATATCTGAAAACTTCCACGCAAATATTAAAATGTTCTGGAAACTCGTAAGAACTGCCAGGGAAAATTCAAAACAGTCTAGAATGAATACTATAAGAGATGAGAACGGATTTATTCTGAGTGACTAAGTTTCGAGTTTAAAGAGATGGAAGGAATATTTTTAAAGCGTGTTTATAAGTGAGGAGACAACGTATGAACTAAATTAAATAGAAATTCCGAAAGAAGAGGAAAGAAGGAGGGAGATAAGTATAGATGAAAAATGAAAGCAATGAAAAGCATGAAAGCAGGTAAGGCAACCGGATATGATAGAGTTTCTCTCGAAATGTTAAGGGCTGGAGAGGAAGTGGTGGCAGGCCTGCTGTACATCTTAATCGACATCATCACATCGTTTAATTTATGTTGGGAACTGAAGCGGTTACCGGAAGAATTGTGCAAAGCCGTGATAGTCCCAATATATAAGGAAAAGGGTCGCAGCAGGACTGTAAAAACTACCGTTGCTAAGGTATGCTAAGGTACTAATTGACAGGGTCATGAAAGAAACTGATGAAAAAATTTGGGATGTGCAGGCGGGATTTATCAAGTCTTATTCATGCGCATGATCGCGGAGAAGTTTTTGGCCAAAAACCAAAGAGTTTTTTGTGCGTTCATGGACTTGGAAAAGGCTTACGACAGAGTGAACAGGGATGTGTTATGGCAAAAACTGAAGTCATTTGGGTTGAACGCTGGGTTGATACAGGCATTAAAGTCTCTTTATAGGGACTCTAGTGCTTGTGTTAGTATCAACGGGGTCTACTCGGACTGATTTGGCATCCACAAAGGTATTAGGCAGGGCTGTGTGGCTTCCCTATGGCCGTTAAACCTATTTATGGACAGTTGTTTGGAAAATTTGAAAGTTGAAGAATGCGGATTAAGAATGGGTGAGTTAACCGTCAAATGCCTTTTGTACGTCGATGACCAAGTTATTTTTGCATAGTCAGCCACCGACTTGCAATTGATGGTTAAATTAATGAACAGGTCTGCAATTGATGGTTAAATTAATGAACATTAAAAGAAAGGGGTACGAAAGTGAACGCTAGTAAGACGAAAGTTATGGTTTTTGAAAGAGAAGAAAGTAAAACAATATGTGAAATAGGAATAGAAGGGGAGTTGGTCGAGTAAGGGGATGAGTTTGTATATTTGGGATGTGTATCCGCAGAGATGGGAGATATGATAAGGATATTGAACGACGAGTGAATGCAGGAAATAATATAAATGGGGCTCTACAGTCTATTGTGAAAAGTCAGAATGTGTCAAAAAGGCACGTATAGCAATTCACAATGCTGTGTTAGTCCCTACTTTAACGTATGGTAGTGAGAGTTGGGTGTGGCAGAAGAAGCACGAGAGTAGAATAAACGTGGTACGCTAAGGAGTATGTTATGGCTGAATCTGCGTGACAGGGTGAGAAATTGTGTGATAAAAAAGAATGTGGTTTGCAAGATGATGCTGTGACTACAATTAAGAAAGGATTGCTTCGGTGGTTTAGTCCTGTAGAAAAAATCAATGAGGAAAGGGTGACAAAGCAAATTTATGTTGTAGAAGTGAATGGAAGAGTTGGAAAGGGACGTCCTGGGTGAAAGTTTATCAACTAAAATGGCGACATATTGAAAATGGGCCAAATTAGGAGTAACCTTAACCGACGAGCATGTATGCGTAGGTATATGAATGTGGAGGAGGCGAGAGAGGTATGTCAGGATCGTGCCAAATGGAAGTCTGTAGTCTCTGCCTACCCCTCTGGGTGACAGGCGTTCAGCAGTAGACTTTTGTAGGCTGTAATCTATTAGAAGAATTTAAACCAGTAACCATTGTTTGATTAAGGACTCTGTTCTGTATTGCTATAAATGTTTGTGATGTTATTTACACAACAAAAGGCTAACAAGTTATACAGCACGAGACTTGTAGGTATTCAAGTGACATCAAGTGCTTGCTCATGCTCAAATCCTTCATTTGGACCGTGCTATGATAAAAAGGTCGGTATGCCCACGGACACGCGACGCTTATTAAGCCTTCATTACCAGGGAATTTTGCCCGCAATATTGTTAAAAACTCGCTTCAAAGCGTACCGTCGCTAAGTGGTCGCCACGAGTAATGTCAGGTCATATATTTTGTCTTAAGAATTTTAGGAGTTTAGACAGTTCAACTTACAATCCCTTCTTGAAGAATTTTAATAATATTTTAATATTAAAAACATATTTTTTACTTGGTTATTTAACATTTACCAACGTAACTACTGGATTTCTGTTTTACGTCATTACAACTGGAGTTCTGTTTTAAGTAAACGGGAAAAAGTCGATAAAGTTTTCATAGGTTTCTCACAGTCACCTTATAAGGATGTAGCAAACGTGAACATCATAAATTTCTCTCACAGTTTCAGAAAAAATATACACAGAATCGTTGTGTTTCCAGTTTCGTTGTTGACAAATGGTAAACTATTTTTTGATGGAATTATCATTAATTCTGAGTACATAATGAATTAGTAAAATTACGAATAGTTTTAAAATCTCATAACACATTATACAAATGCTTAAATCTGTTTTAATTACATTGAGTGATGTTAAAAAAATGGTAAACTACGCTGGGTTTTTTAGACGTAACAACTACTGTTACAGGACTTACATTTTATACGAAAAGAATAAAAAAAATGTAAGCTACATTAGTCGTTTTTGTTGTTTTTGAACATTGTATTTTGTAATGATTTCTAATATTTACGCGAACACTATACATGATTAAAACTACTTTTACAGATTTTATCGCGTTTATTTTTACTTTTTATTTACTTTTATTTTTAATTCCCGACGTTTCGGGCGCTTTCCAGCACCCATGGTCACGGGGGACTGAGATGACTGACGTCCCGTCATTGTTAAACCCGGAGTACCTTCAGCTTTTTTAATTATTGTTTATGGTCCGATCTATGCAAAATGAACTGACTATGTCCTGAGGTCTTGCAGTGGTATGCTTGGGTTTAGTATTAATTTTATTGATTATAGGATCCCAAGCAGGTGGTAGTACCCAGCCTCCTTCTCTATTGAAATTAGGATGTTTTTTTAATTTTAATAGCCTCACGTATCATCCTTGGTAGGAATCGGTGTTCTTTCGCGAGGATTTGTGGTCTATCAAATCTGATGTAATGGTCCATTACATCAGACCGACCGACCGTACCGATTCCTACCAAGGATGATACGTGAGGCTATTGAAATTAAAAAAGCTGAAGGTACTCCGGGTTTAACAATGACATCGGGACGTCAGTCATCTCAGTCCCCCGTGACCATGGGTGCTGGAAAGCGCCCGAAACGTCGGGAATTAAAAATAAAAGTAAATAAAAATTGAAAATAAACGCGATAAAATCCGTAAAAGTAGTTTTAATCATTGTATTTCGTGTTAAAATTTTAATAAACTAATTGATTTTGAATAAACCGAGGCGAAATGCGAAAACGGGACAGAAAAAGAAATCGGGAGATGGGCAGCAGCGTCTTCCTAATAAAGAGCATTATAAAAAAACTGCGGTCGCAACCCGCTTGCCAAGCGTGGCAACTATGGCAAATCCCCC